TGACGAAGTTCCGATTAAAGAACATGTAATGGTAATGAAAAAGGAAACTTTAGTCATTTTATCTGTAGTGGATGCCAAAAGCTCTTTTGATGTGGTTATACCAAGTGAAACATGTATTTTTCTGTCTCTTTAGATTTGCATTTACTTTCACTACCCTTTTTTATTGACGTGTTCATGAGAATAGCATGAAAACTATTAATGAACCAAGCCGCCGGTTTCGGTGAGCTTGGAAAACTTCTTCTAAACTGGAGCATATTTGAACAAACAATGACCTATGTCGTTCACAATAATGTTATGTTCTAATCCATAGAAGAGAGACAAACAATTCGGGAAAAAGCTGCGCATGCCCTAGAAAAAGGGATGATAAGGGTGAGACGCGGTAACGCGTCTCAATGTCCAACGAGGTGCGCAAAGTGAGACGCGTTACCGCGTCTCAATGTCGTCAATGTGTTAAAGTGACTGAAAGCGATAACCCATGTGTTCCAGGCCGTAGCCTGTACTTTCCTTAGTTCGGGAAACTCGGAACAAAAAATCTTTCTAAGTGTTCTTTGTCTTTCCAACAAAAATCTTTCTGAGAAAGTGTATATATGTATGTAGTGGATGTGAAGATAAAGTGATTTGTAGTAGATAACGTATAAAAGCAAATGAGCGCGGAAACTGAGGCAACTGCGTCTTTGAAAAGAAATAAATTCGAAAGCCTCTTTCGCTTCCCTAGCCTGGAGAAGGATGGGATACGACCCCTGATATGCTGCATGTGAGGAACACAGGGAGCAGCAAATGAATTGATGCGCTCGAAAAGTTTTCGTTATTCCCCGAAAGACTCCTGAAAATACTCACTGCATACTTGAAGTGCGCTTCTTCAGAGTTGGGTACATTCAGGCCGAAAACAGGAGGGACCGGGTCATTGTTCTTTCGAACGCCGGTAGGTAATACAGTCGCAAACTCGTCCTCCACTTGTTCTGTGAGGCTGTAGCGCAGGTTAGAGATCCTTGTATTGATGTGTAAACCATTGTGTCTGTCCAGATCTATCTCGGTCTGTCCTGCTAGGGTGGCTGCCTCAAAAGGTTCTTTGCAAGAACTTTAAATCCGACCATGTTTTTGGCTGCATCAATGGTCACAGCAAAGATCCACTCGGCTTTGTTGCTGTTGTAGTCGAAATCAATCCGCAAACAATCTCGGTAATGCCATTCATAGCCGTTTAGTTCCCCTCATATTGGGTTGTCCAATAAGTTTCCGCCGATTTTGACTCTCAAATTCAAAAACGCATATCTCGGTTCAAACAAAGCGTCTTTGCTCGAAATAAAAACTATTACAATCCCCATACCTTTGCCTACAAGAAATGAGTTTAACTGATCCGGATGTTGGAAGTGCTGGAGTTCTGTGAGCTAAGAACTCGGCGAAGGTCGTTTCACCACCATGTTGGGTTTCAATGCTCAATCTCTCAAAACCTTCCAGATGGTTGGAAAAGTGATAGTTGGTAGGCAATAGGTCTAGTGTGTAAAATTTTGCAGCACAATTTCGTAGCTCAGCTAGTTCAACTTGGAAGTCCGAGATGGGGTTGTGCAACAGTGGGTAGAAGAGCCGGCGGCACCCAATTTTCGACTTCTTTGGGCTTTTTACCCTCACCGCTATGTTTGGAAATCTTATGTCGGTTACGCCTAATTCAGAAGCAGCCTGCTCAACAGTTTCATGCAGATGTACTCTGAACCAAATGCTTAGTTGATATCGCAACTTGCTTCCGCACATTTCCGAGCAAGTTTGAGGGGAAACAAGAAACTAGTGCAAAGCAGGCTGTTGAGTATGTTGTATTCAAGACTTCAAAAAAAGTGGAAAGGTGATTCAGTGTTGAAAAAACAGTAGATTTGGATAGAGCGAGGAACGCGCTTTCTAACGATATATAAAGTGTTAGCAGTTTCTTGAAAGTGACCCAGAAATAAAGCATTCAAAAGTGAGCTACAAAAACGACGGAAACTTTCTGGACAGCCTAATAATATCTCACTTCAGTGCTGATTCGTATGTCTTCCAGTGGGATCCAGCCGAGGCACGTAAGATGCGATCAGTGCAACTGTGAGACCGACGTCATAGTCGGCGACGGACGAAGCGATCGCTCCATCGCTTGTCCGTCGCCGACTATGTTGTCGGCCTCATGGTCAAAACGGCCATCGTGGGATCAAAAGCTCGCAACAACTGCTTTCAAATATCCCTGATAAATTCCGGTCTGAACCATTCCATCCAGAATATGCGAAGGCGGATGCTCGTTCTCACCGAATAAAACAATACGTGAGCCAAAGGTGACCGATCGAACTTCGAGCACATATTGAGTTTTGATCACCTTCACATCAGGTGAAAATCGTTCTGTTATCTTCTTTCTTCTTGGTGCGGCGGTGCTTTGCCGAACTCTCAATACATTTGCCAAACTCTGTTAAGATACTTGATGAGCTATATTTCAAGTTCGATCAGGATGGTGAACAACAAAATACTTTAAGTTGCGGGGAACACAATTTCGTAAAATATTTTGCGATTTCCTGAAAAAAACCGAATTCGTTTCAAACTTCATGGCACAAACATAAAGAGGGCGGGTGCTGATATGCAACAGCGACCAAAAATTTTCGTAGTAAGGTTTTCACTCACTTTCTTTAAATTTAAAAGGACTGAAAATAACTGACGACTTTCCCATCAAAATGTCTTGAATCTCCTGGTCAAAAAAAAAACAAGAAGGCGAAAGGCATAAAATATCAATATTTATAAATGTAACTTCAACTTGATAATTTGATCAGAAAAATTCAACTCGGATAAAAGAATCTTTGGCGCTCGTGGCCTGGTTGGGGGACATTAAAAACATGTCATTTAGAAAGCGCTGGTGCCGAAGAGGGGAGAAAAGCCGAAAAAAAGAAGCAAACAAAACTTGCTCATATCCGCCCCAGAATCTTTTCCCCTCGCTGAGGCTCGGTCCCAAGTACTGTGAGTAGCTCATTCACTCGACTATTCCCCCCCCCCCCAACAAAATGAGCACCGAATTTTAAAATCATCAAAAATTAAAGATGGAACAACAGTTTTGAGGGTCATTACAAGTCGGCCATTATCGCATGTGAAAACAAATTCAACCAAAAATATCAAGCTGTGAACAAGGAATAAAAATACTGATTACGTTCTGATATACTTCTCTATCCCTGTTGAAATAATAATATTTCCGAACCGCTGGCTAACTAGCATGTAGCTAATGGATAGGCCGTACTCACATCATAAACAATGCTTAAAAACTAGAGATGGCGAAATTCGTCGGGAATATTTGAGCAATTCCTATCGCGAGCATTTGAAAAAATCTTCAACCGATCAACAATTTCATTCTTGTTATGTAAGTGACTGCGTATCTAAGGTAGCATGCGGACGGTCTATACGCAGAGCAAAAAGGCTAATAACAAGAAGCGTTACTAAGATATATTATAGTTTTTGAACATCACTGAAAGGAAACTAAATCCGCTAAGCAAATTCTTTTCGCAAAAGCTAGAAAAATTTCACGTTCGTTAAAACGCACAGGGTGTGGGTACTTAGGACAGAACGCGACTTTTTCGCTCTTCGCAACGCGACATCGCGCGGCAGGCTGGCGCACCCGTAGCGAAAACAACTACGGTATATAAGAACGCGCGATTGGAGCAGCTTTTTTGCATGCGTGAATTTGTAAGTTTCTGATTCCTTACTTGCCCGCGCTCACACCCATTGTATTGATAAATGCGGTGAATCACTAATTCTGTCTCATTATTGAAAACGTTTTGTGACTTACAAGATTCCGGGCGATACCACTAAAATGGTGTTTTACGAATTATCGGTGAACGAGGGTTTAATAGGGCCGCTTGTGCTTGCATTTTGTGGGTTCATATTGTTGTATAGACTTCTGCATAAGGGTATAACATCTTTTACGAAACGCTTCTGTCCTCATTACGGATATGATACTCATTTTGGACGCTGGCGCCATTTGGGGCCAGGTGGCGCCACAACTGTTTCCCACTAAATTCGTTTTAAACTTTTGTATAGGGGTTATTCGGGGTCCTGATTTGTTGTTAGCGCTATTCGGCGCCTGCATCCTGCTCGTCTGCGCCCTCGCACTAATTAGATCGCAGTAGGACTAAGCCTTTGAGTAGTGTAGGGCTCCAAAGTGGGTAGGCCATTCCCCTGTGGTGTGACACACTCCAACTTTTGCCACACGGTGCGTGGTTTACCCACTCCGGAGTTTCACTCCCCTCCCCTATGCTTAGTCGTAGGCGCTGTAGGTGAGAAAGCTTAGTAAAAGCAGAAAGTATGCGTTAAACAGCACGAATGTGAAAAATGAGTGTCATATTCATGATCAGGGCCCCAAATAACCCCTATGCAGAAGTTTACAGTCGTCTCATCAAACGTCCATCAACCATTCCTCTTCCAGGTTCTCCAGAAGCTCTACCATCCATCTCTGCAAAAATAACCTACCTCCCTCTTCACTGCTAGTTAGCGGTCCACTTCTGGTTACCATTTCCTCGTTCATTATCAAATCCATGGCTATTAAGCTTCAAACTCCTTGTCGCAATCAAAGCCGACACAAATATCGCGCTCCAATCGCGCGTTCTTATATACCGTAGTTGTTTTCGCTACGGGTGCGCCAGCCTGCCGCGCGATGTCGCGTTCGACGAGCGAAAAAGTCGCGTTCTGTCCTAAGTACCCACACCCCTTTCAAACAGTGTCACGTGACAGTGAACCTTTTTTGAATGTGGCGGGACTT